TACAACACAAACAGGATAGGGGACAGGACGCAGCCTTGGCGGAGACCAGTGCGAACACTCAATGGTTTCGCCTTAACGCCATTAACTCTGACTCAGCATATGCTATCAGAATACATTGATTGAAAGGCTCTTACAGCTGGCCATCTGTCCCATATGCTCGAAGGCACGAGACATACTGTTGCGTGGGATCCGGTCATACGCTTTCTCTAGGACCACAAAACACATGTACTCCGTCTGTACTCCGTGTACTACGTCGCATTCGGCTGCAAACGTTTCAGAGAGCGCTGGAGATCAGCTTCAGAAGATGCCATACTATCTTTCTTCATGGAAAGGATATTATGATATTAAACGCGGCGTAGATTTGGTGTACAGCCTTTGCTTTTCCAGACTGAGAAATCACAGCTGCGATGGCTTGGGCTTGTGGTGGGAATGCCTCCAGAAAGGAAGGCTAAGCAACTGTTCCTTGCAAATCCGACCGGCAAAAGGCCCAGGGGACGGCCAAGATAAGCTGGTGCAAACATATGGGAGAAGTCTGTTCCAGACTCCATCTGTCTTTTGCCGAAGCTCAGACTTTGGCACAGGATCGGGAACGTTGGAAGCGCTCTATGACTCGTCTGTCTCCGCGACCGGAAAGGAGAAGCTGCGATGGAAAATCAAGATGAATGCGGCGTACGGTTCAAAAATATTGATCGCTCACGTGCGTGTTTATGATTAAAGATAAAATCAGCTTGTAAACTAAGAGAATCGTGAAATTCATTGACATGAGAATTTACAACCTACCTGCGGGTGAGGGACACCTCATGCGACTGACATTGCATACATTTTGAATCATGGTAAAATTAGGCTGCATTAAAATACTGCTTGCGAAGCTTGTCCAACACCAGGACGACCGGAATCATCGAAAAATTTCCAAAAGCGACAGTTTTTTCCCCGCATAGTTGAAAGGACGGAGTCGGAATAAAGCAGGGATAGAAGAACATCGATGCTAACCATGTTGTAGCAGCCAGAATAAAAAACGTTTTCCATACTTAATGACATTTCTCGTAGTCAAGATATAAAGCAGCAATATTTAGTAACTTGGCAAGTGAGTATGTATCTAAGTAGGTACGTAAATTGATAAGTAATTCAGCAGATTAATATAGACGTAGGTAAGGAGGCTGGTTAGTAAACAGATCAAAAAGTAATTATGTTTGTTAGAATGTAAGCAAGCTAGTAAGTAAATGGGTAAGTGAGCGAATGAGGAACTATAGAAGGAGTTAACTTCTTTCACAATTACATTACGGTATGGCAGGATTAAAAAAATGCACGTTTTAAATTTAAATTAAAAAAGTTTTAAAAAAATTAAAAAATAATGCACGTTTTCCTCCATATCCATTGGGATTGCGGAGATCATCTCTTACCAGCCCTGATACGACTAGTTTATGAGTTAGTAATAGCCACATCGAATAAAAAGTGTATCACAGTTTTGAGGCAATAATGGGGAACAATTCACCTCACTCAATGAAGTAAGCAGGATAATGACGAATTCTGTAGGAGAG